CGGCCCCTCTCCTCTGCTCCCCCCCCCCGCTGCCCTGAGAGGAGGGGAGGGGACCCCACCTTCAGCTGCAGACTAACTAAAAGCAGGGGTGAGCCCTCGGGTCTTGGCGGAGGATAACATCCAAAACGTGACCCGGGCAGATCCCACGGCCCAGAAAACGGATCGCGAAGAGAAGGGGCCCGATATTTACGTGCCAGGCGCCGCTTCGACGCGCTGGGGACGTGGAGCGCGGGAGGAGGCACCTGCCGGGCCAAGGCCCTGGGTGGAAGCTCACGTTGTTCCTGGGAATGGGACATTCAGTCCGGCCACGGGCGCTCTGCTGATCGCTGCCCTTTGAAAGGCAGCGCTTAAAAGCCAAGTGCATTTTCAGCTGATTCTACCATGCCAGTTTATTTCTAATTCACAGGCCTAAGCGAGATACCTGTCGACACAGCTGCCCAACTCCCAACTGAAGGTGCAATGGAGGTTTAGAAAACCCAGGAAAGTTTTTAATTTGTATTCGTCTGCAATAAATCAGGGGCAAGCAGGAATTCAGGCTACCCACGTGCCGTACGTACACCAGAGGCTCCGAACACCGAATTTCCCGTGGAGGTAAGGCAGGCTTTGCTCAGCCTCACGAGCGCAGGCCCCTGCCGCCCCAGCTAGAGGGGAACGGCCCAAGCCCGAGCAGGACTGAGGCTTGGACGGAGCTAAGTAATTCAATACTACCCCGACAGAGCACCAAAACAAAAGCGCACAACTGTGTAAGGCAGCGTTCACCACAGCCGGTGCTGTTCCAAAGAGCCCTCTGAAATACACATCATCTATGGCTTAAGAGATACTGAGAGTTGACCAGGAAACCTTTCTGGTTAGTTTGAGTGAGGGAGTAGCGGTCTGCAGAGGCAACTCAAGAAGAAGCAATAAAAGCAAAGAGGTTTCTACCGCCAGCCTCAAAACACTGAACACCCACAAAGCTGGCTGAGGTTAATGGGAACTGTGAGCGCTATGTATGTTAGTCTGCTTTCAGTTATGTATTTATTGAAAATATCAAATGAACCCCGCCAAAAATAATTTTATTCTGCTACTCTGTTTTACTAGCTCATTTCTAGCAGATCTCACACAGCCCTGCTAGTTACATAGGATAAGCACTGTAAGAGATTTGGAAACGAATTTCACCTCAGAAGTGATAATTGACTTTCCTTCCTCCCAATGCCCGTTTAGTCTGTTTTACGAAGCACCAGCAGTTGTACTAAAATACATAACATGCTAAGAACATACAGCATGTTGTCCTCCTTTTTTAAGGATTCAGATTCCAAACGCCTAACTTCCTGGTCCTTACCCTCAATTTTAATTAACAGAGTGCTTGTGAGAAGCAACAATTTTCTTGACAGTGATGAAGAGCAAGGCCTGTATTTATCCACCCGAGAGATGCGATGCAGACAAAAGAGCGAAGCACTCTTCTCATCAGCGTGCCTCAATCGTGATCTTGGAGGGCCGAGTTCATTATGAAGTGCACTCTGTCCCTGGCCTTTCTTTTCCAGCCGGCGAAAGGAATATCAATTTTGATTTGCATACTTTGTCAGCTGAACTCTAAGACTGCCAATTCAGTTTACACAAGTCTCTCAAAAGCTGTGAATATTTCACATCACTGGCTGAGAAAAGACATCTCTGACAGCCATCCATGTATTTTAGGTCTGCATTTTTACTGATTATCTGGGACTGTAGCAGACTGTTCGCTGCTACTGACAGACTCATGCATTTGTCACCATTCGCTCATGAAAATAATCAACTATAAAACCAAAAGATTTTCAGAAACGCCGAATAACAATGACACTCTCTTAAATACTATCTGGAAGTGGCTTTCAACCTTTTCCAGTTTCTAGGTCCCTAAGTGTTTTTCGGAAAGTGCTTCTAGAGCAGATTTGAAACCAGAAACAGTAGCGCTGCCTTTCCAGGTTCTGTTTCCACTCAAACGGTCTCTTCGTCTCATAAACAGCCAAGGATTCCCAGCAGTTTATAACTGAAAACTAATGCACTGAAAAACAAATACTAGATTAAAGAAAAAAAACAATACTTAGAAAGACACTAGGTAAAATAACCTTAGAGAGAAGGCTGGCAATTCCTATAGAATACCTTACAAAGAGCAACTGTTAATGAACATCAAGCTTGTCTGCTCTGGGCACTTAGTACTCGTACTTTATTAACAAAGGTTACCGAAGCACGTTTCACCATTGGACCCATTTCAAGGTAGAAATATTCTTTTCATAGGGCCGCTGTGCGCCTGCAGCTAAGGAGCCCCCCCCTCCACCACACAAACAAACACACACACCCCCACCACCACCACCACCCGGCCAGGT